CAGGTTGCCCAGAGAGGTGGTGGATGCCCCATCCCTGGAAACATTCAAGGTCAGGTTGGACGGGGCTCTGAGCACCCTGATCGAGTTGAAGATGTCCCTGCCCATGGCAGGGGGGTGGACTAGATGACCTTTAGAGGTCCCTTCCAACCCAAACCATTCTACGATTCTATGATTCTAACTCTCCGTGTGGGGTAGGTTTATCTGGTGATGTCACTAGTCCCTGGCTCTGACCCAAAACGCATCCACGGGGTTCCCACCGGCCGTTTTGCTGCGCTGGCTGGGTGGTCTGAGGCCGTGGGCACAAACGCTGGTGCCGTTGAATCCTCCTTTCCCCTGCTGCTCTCAGTCCCACCTGGGATCCGGCTTTCTGGGGGGTTTCCAAACACCCGTCCCTCTCTCCGTAGGTGGTGGATTACTACAAAGAGGCCTGCCGGGCGCTGGAAAACTCGGAGACAGCCTCGCTGCTGGGAAAGATCCAGAAGGACTGGAAGAAGCTGGTTCAGATGAAGATCTATTATTTTGCTGCTGTGGCCCATGTAAGTGGGGAGACCAGCTGCGGGGGCTGCTTGGCTGCGGTGGGGGGGACCTGCCCTTTGCTCCCACCCCGGCTTGGGCTGCTCGCACCCGCTGTGGAGCGGTGCTCACCGCAACACCACCGACGAAGGGGCTTTGGCTGCTCTGCTGCTTGCCCGTTTCAAAACCCCCCCTGGATTTAAGGAGCTCTGACCCCGCCGATGCGTGTTTTCTTGCAGCTGCACATGGGAAAACAGGCTGAGGAGCAGCAGAAGTTTGGGGAACGGGTAAGCAGGGCCGTGTCAGCCCACCTCATCCAGTCCGGGCTCTGGATCGTGGTCCTGCCCTGGGAGGGTTGAGTCCTGGAAGAGATTGTCACGCTAGTGACGCTGGGTATCCGCAGCGCTGGGGACACGAGTGTGTCACCAGCGATGTCCTGCCTCCTGCAGGCGTTTGTGGGTGTTCTCGGAAAGCCCTGTTATGCTGAAGGAAGCTGCAGCTCTCGGGGGCTGGTGGTGGTGTTTCTGTGCAAAGCGAGGGCACCTACTTCCGTGCCAACCCTGGTAACCCTAATTCCCGGCCTCTCTGCAGGTCATCTACTTCCAGAGCGCTCTGGATAAACTCAACGAAGCTATCAAGCTGGCAAAGGTGCGTTCCTGCTCCATCTGGTAGCAGTATTTGGGGTTTTTTTAAAGTTACTGTGCTGAGCTGTGGCTCAGTCCAGTGGGTTGCCAGACTGAGAAGATGAGAATTGGTGTCAGTTTAAAAGCATTCCTTGCCGTTCAGTAGGTTGGCAAACCTGTGCTGGCTTCCGCAAGCGTCACTTTGCTTCCCTCTGGGACATCCAGCCAAGCCCCAGGCTCTGCTATCTCCTGGCCGCTTGGTCTCCCAGGGCTTTAGGGGGGATTGGTTTGGCTTTGATCGTTCAGGAGCATGTGGGCAGCTCCAGAAGGGCCGTGGGTCTGCGGCACGCAGCCCTGCCGCGTTGGTGAGCTCCCCACGGAGCCCCTGCTGTCGGTGCTGCCGTGCTTGGGAAACCGAGGACAGCCCTGTGGCAGGGTCTGCGTGTGAAACGGGGACATGGAGGATTTGGGGCTGCCTGCAAGGCATCTCCGTTGCTTTATGGGGCACAAGGAGAGATGGCTGACGAGGCTGCTGATGGCTCTGGTCTTGCTCAGGCTGTGGCCGCGGCACGCAGGGCTGCGATCGGCTGCTGGGACAGCGATACCCCTTCCCTGCCTGCACTAACTCGCTCTCATTTCTGCAGGGCCAGCCAGAAACCGTCCAGGAAGCCCTGAGATTCACCATGGATGTGATCGGTGGCAAGTGAGTCCGTGCACAGGGCGCCTCTGGACGTGACCGTCCTGCTTCTCTGTGGGTCAGAAATAGCTGGTGGCTGAAGCAGCCCAGGGAGTGTCCCCGGTGTCCCCTGACAGGCAGAGCCCAGCACCCCGTGCTGCCTGAGGCTCTCGGGAGTGGCTGCCGTGGAAGTTGCTCTTTGCTCTCCCTGGAGCAAACCCAAGAGACCCAGGGCCTGACCCCACTGGGAGCGAGCTCAGGGAGCCGGGAGCGTCGTCTGCTCCTCACCAATGCGGCATCGCTTCTTGTTTCCAGGTACAATTCGGCCAAAAAGGACAACGACTTCATCTACCACGAAGCTGTGCCTGCGCTGGACACCCTGCAGTCTGTGAAAGGTGAGGATGGGCAGTGTCCTCTCCTGCCAGCCCCTGATGGGAGAGGGACCCGCACGGTGTGACACACGGTGGATCCACGGGGCTCTGGGACCCTTGGGGCCAGTGGGGCTTCATGCCGTGAGGCCCTGCTCGCCCAGGATCTGCCAGGAATGAAGGTGCTGAGTGGGAGGACCTGTCTTAGGAACAATCAGTTCCCCGTGGAGGTTTCAGGCATGTGTTGTGTCTTCGACCCCCAGGTGCTCCCTTGGTGAAAGCCCTCCCCGTCAACCCCACGGATCCGGCCGTCACCGGCCCCGATATATTTGCCAAACTGGTGCCCATGGCTGCCCACGAGGCCTCTTCGCTGTACAGGTGTGTCCCGGGCCCGGGCTGGGGCGCGGGCGGGCACGGCTCTGGCCGGAGCAGGACAGCCGGGCAGCTGCCTGCCGCAGCGGTTGCGGAGCTGGGGACGCAGATCTCCAGCACCGAGCTCAACAAGGAGCCCGTGCCCCAGCTCAGCCTCTCTGCAGGCTGAAGGGAGCTGGAGGGGACCAAACCAGCCGCGGTGGTTTCCTTGGGGAGCCACCAGCCCTCCCCAAATGTCCCCGAGTCGTCCTCGTGTCCGGCTCCTGTCCGTTGTCTCTCCTGGCAGCTGGAGCTAGCCTCGCTGCCCCAAAGGGCCGCGGGCGGCAGGCCCCGGGACGGACGAGGCTCCGGCCGATTCCCGCAGGTCTTGGAGCACTTGTGATTCGCGGCGGAGGTTTCCCTACCGCTGTCGCAGCGCTAAAGGATTTGTTTTTTTTTTTCTCCTCCGTCGTAGCGAGGAGAAGGCCAAACTGCTGAGAGACGTGATGGCAAAGATCGAAGCCAAGAACGAAGTGCTGGAGTACGTGTGAGCCGTACCTGAACGGGGCCCTGGCCAATTCCTCCCCGCTGGAGACCCAGGCAGCGGCTGGGGCTCCCTCCGGCCTGGCACAGGGGTGTCCCGATGATCCCCTCGCTGGGTTTCCCACCCCGGTGCCGACGGGAACGCAGACATCCCTGATCTCTTGTCACCCTCATGCTGAGCACGGTCAAGTCCCAGTTTGCCCAGCTCTGGGGCAGACCCCGTCCCCCAGCGGGTTCCAGTACCAGCGACCGGTCCCCAAATCCACCCTGCAGCTTTGCCCAGACCATCGGGGGCGACGCTGCAGTGCTGCGCCCCGAGCTGGCCGTGGTTTGGGATGGGGGGGACCTGCAGGGAGGCTCTGCCACCGCTCCGGGGCTTTGTCTCTCGGCTCTAG